TCTAGTACACCTTCAGACGCACGGCTAAACCTGAATGTTTCTAGTTCCAGGTGTAGTGTTAATTATAGTTTTACACTAGCACTGTTGCTATGTAGAACTAACACTATACCTAGAACTAAAATCATTTGGGTTTAGCCCCACGTCTCTAAAGACGGCTAAACCCCAATGATTCTAGTTCTAGGTATAGTGTTAATTCTAGTTTTAGTTCTAGCAAAAAAAGTAACACTAGATTTAGAACTAGAAACATTCGGGATTAGCCATACGTCTCTTAAGACGGCTAACCCCGAATGATTCTAGTTCTAGATCTAGTGTTAGTTTTAGTTTTAGTTCTAGCACCAAAACTAACATTAGACCTAGAACTAGAATCATTCGGCTTTAGCCGTCTTAAAAGACGTACGGCTAAACCCGAATGTTTCTAGTTCTAGGTCTAGGGTTAGTTCTAGTTTTAGCTCTAGCACCAAAAGTAACACTAGATCTAGAACTAGAAACATTCGGGATTAGCCATACGTCTATTAAGACGGCTAACCCCGAATGATTCTAGTTCTAGATCTAGGGTTAGTTCTAGTTTTAGTTTTAGCACCAAAAGTAACACTAGATCTAGAACTAGAAACATTCGGGATTAGCCATACGTCTCTTAAGACGGCTAACCCCGAATGATTCTAGTTCTAGATCTAGGGTTAGTTTTAGTTCAATAAAAATCTAATGCTGCATTACAATTAAAACTAGAACTATCACTAGACTTTTTTTTGATAAAATTCAACAAAAATAAAAATAAAAGGCTAATGATGTGGTGCTAAGATATATCATCATTGAGGTGGGAAAATTATTGAATAGAGGCTATGGTGCGTTTATCAAAGTCTGAGGGACTATCGAAATATGAATAAGACGTCGCAACGATCCCCGTCAGAAGCTTGAATTGATGACAAGTGGAGGTGTCCCCCTTTGGCCACACCCTGAAATCGATCAGGAGGTTAGGGATGTCCGAGAGCTTTGTGATCGGTGACGACTGGACGTCACCTAAAGTGTTTCACCCCTTATGGGAATTGAGTCATCCTCGTAGTAACGGTTAATAATATTTTTGCATAAACAACGCCACAAATTGAACACGTGACCTTTTTTTTCAACTGCTAACTTATTCTGCTCGCGGCACGGCTTTATTTCGTGTTTTCCTTTTATTCCGGGGACTCGCGCAAAAAAAGGGTATTACAATAAAGATGGGGGAATAACAGATGTAATGGACTGACCCTTTGCCAGGGTCCTAAAAAATCGGCTTCGTGATTATTTCTTGTAAAGTTTGATGAAATTCCGTGCTTGTCTCAGGGGGGAGTTAAAATATAATTTAAATGCATGAGGACTGAAATATATTAAGAAAAATAAAAAGAAAGTGCAGATTATGTAAGGTTATTGTTATTTTCAGTAAATATACGACCACCAAAATCGACCTAATTCGATGACGAGGAGTATTCGTTTTTATTGCGTATCGGCTTTCCTACATAGCCGTTGCATTTACAGGCGATAAACGCATGCCCTCGGTTTATTTGACCGTAAAAGTGTTAGTCGTCACCAACGATTTACTACGTAAGTCATAAAAGCTAACATAATGGCAGGTGTGCGATGATAAGACTTAGGAAACGTATGCATTCATCTCTTCAGTTATCTAAAACCTATCTAAAACCTGAAACTAAAACAACGATGCGACAGGTTAAAAGCTGAGAGGCCCTTTTCGATATGCGCTCGTGGCGGGGATACTGTAAACACAAAGGGCCTTTTCGCCGAAACGGGGTTAAATTCGAGGGGGACACCGGAAGGGCTATCAAGCAGCCCATTCTTCCTTTACTGTCATGTTCAACACGTACGGGGTCTTATCGGCGAAGCGAGCATGTTTTAAACAGCCATAAACCTTCGCCGCGTTTTGTTGTATATTGTAAGTTTCAAATACTACCTTTTTCACAACCCCAAATTCCACTGTCGATTAATATTAAACAGAAATTCCATCTTGCTATTGGCACATTCCAGAAAATTCAGAATTTATAAGATTTCACACAAAACTGATTTATTTACTTATCATGATATCTATAGTAAGAGGGGACTTACTCTGAATCCACATGTGGGTCATTCTATTTTAGATTCGACACGAATTTCTTTCACGTTTCATTCTTACTCTCTCTTTACTTATATATTATTATTATTCTTGCAAAAAATTGTGGCATCATTTCGATCTTGACTTTGCATCTTAGGGATGCTCCTTTGTGTGTTGGAATGTCATAACTCCTGGCGTTTACACGGGTATGGATTCCTTAGTACTTAGCACTCCAGCAGTGCTGACGTTTGCGATGATATTGCAACCGAGTAAATTGTAGTTGAGCGATTCTCTGATGAGGTGTTCTACTAAATTTGGATTATAGCTAAACTATTCTAACACGATTAACGTAAGGGTCAAAGAAGAACTAACCGAAGACATTCCCACATCAGGGGGAGTTTTCGCTCATTTTTATTCAACTTATTAATGGACAAACTAATCGAGCAAGTAATAACTTTTAGACGAAGATATGAAATGGACAAATTTTGGCTTTATCAACTGAATGAACCCCTGAACTTGATTGTCTCTACTTCAAAAAGATAATATCTCAAGCAAATAATTAAATTTCTCATTTAAGGTCAAATATACACTTTACTCATTGTTATTTGAGTACTTGAGCCACTGCCTCAGCAATAAAGCTGCCTCGGCAACTAAATGAGACAGTCGAGTTTAAACAAAATACTTAAATTTCTCATTTAAGGTCAGATATACACTTTACTGTTTGTGTATTGGTTACTTAAATGCTTAAATGTTTCATTTAAGGTCAAACATACTCTTTACTCGCTGTTATTTGAGTAGTTGAGCAACTGCCTCAGCAGCAAAGCTGCTTCGGCAACTAAGTAAGACAGTCGAGTTTAAACAAAATACTTAAATTTCTCATTTAAAGTCAGATATACTCTTTATTGTTTGTGTATTGGTTACTTAAATGCTTAAATATTTCATTTAAGCTCAAACATACTCTTTACTCGTTGTTATTTGAGTAGTTGAGCACCTGCCTCGGCAGCAAAGCTGCTTCGGCAACTAAATAAGACAGTCGAGTTTAAACAAAATACTTAAATTTCTCATTTAAGGTCAGATATACTCTTTAATGTTTGTGTATTGGTTACTTAATGCTTAAATGTTTCATTTAAGGTCAAACATACTCTTTACTCGTTGTTATTTGAGTAGTTGAGCAACTGCCTCAGCAGCAAAGCTGCTTCGGCAACTAAATAAGACAGTCGAGTTTAAACAAAATACTTAAATTTCTCATTTAAAGTCAGATATCCTCTTTACTGTTTGTGTATTGGTTACTTAAATGTTTCATTTAAGGTCAAACATACTCTTTACTCGTTGTTATTTGAGTAGTTGAGCAACTGCCTCAGCAGCAAAGCTGCTTCGGCAACTAAATAAGACTGTCGAGTTTAAGCGAAATACTTAAATTTCTCATTTAAGGTCAGATATCCTCTTTATCGTTTGTGTATTGGTTACTTAAATGCTTAAATGTTTCATTTAAGGTGAAACATACTCTTTACTCGTTGTTATTTGAGTAATTGAGCAACTGCCTCAGCAGCAAAGCTGCTTCGGCAACTAAATAAGACAGTCGAGTTTAAACAAAATGTTTAAATGACTCATTTAAGGTCAAGTACACTTTTCACTACTTCTTTATTGAGTACTTGAGCAACTGCCTCAGCAGCAAAGCTGCTTCGGCAACTAAATAAGACAGTCGAGTTTAAACAAAATACTTAAATTTCTCATTTAAGGTCAGATATACTCTTTACTGTTTGTGTATTGGTTACTCAAATGCTTAAATGTTTCATTTAAGATCAAACATACTCTTTACTCGTTGTTATTTGAGTAGTTAAGCAACTGTCTCAGCAGCAAAGCTGCTTCGGCAACTAAATAAGACAGTCAAGTTTAAAGAAAATGTTTAAACGACTCATTTAAGGTCAAGTATACTTTTTACTGTTTGTTTTGTGAGTACATGTGAAATATTTTTATAAATGTATTAATCTTTGACCACATAAATGATCGATATGTCAATTTATAATCGTTTATGCAATCCCTTTTGTAAGTTACATGTAAAGTTAAATTGGTCAAACCATAGGTTCATTCGATTTTCGCGGTAATAGGCTTCTGTTAGCGGTTTACATATGTTTATTTCATTCCCGTTTGATTTTGGCGGTTCAATTATCAAATCCAATTGTCCATCGAGGATAGATTCGCTCAATTTTTCTTGTTCCCGCGGCGATTCTGGTTCGTAATTTGCCGGTCGAATCCGGTTATCTAAAAAAGTACGAATCCACCATCGATAAAATAAATAAAGCAATTTTCAACCGCACGTTCCGCAGTAATTGAACGTCACCTTATGACCTCACGCTACATTCGATTTGTGAAGATATCGCGGCTTATCGAAATTCTAGGCAGCGGCCAACGGGTTCGGATTGGCGCGTAGGATGGTGTCGTAGGATTTATTGCTCAATCTGTTGTGTCTTTGTGCTTATCAGAACAACTCCTTTGTAGACAATTTCGTCGAGGACCTCAACAAGGCCCACTTATTAGCACGCCTATTGGCCCATCGATTTCAAATAAAACGAAAATCTTTATTTTATTTATGAAAATTAATCAGCATATAGATAGTAGATATTGCATTTATGTCCAATGTTGAAAATATCAATACTTGACTAACTACATTAAGCGATACTGCAGCACTTAGATATATCATAGGGTGAGAGCCAATTTGCGTTTGCCGTCCTGCGACGCTTATCTTTGCAATTGCACTAATGCCCTTTAATTACGAGTAAATATTTAAGCGATGCTAATTTGTGTAGAAGTAAAATATAAGCCTTGTAATTTTAAATATGTTTAATTTGAACCGTAATAAATTATGTATGTTGCTATATCATTATCGTTATTATATGTTGGTGTGTTGTTGTTGTTGCAGGAGAATTGCCGGCTGCAGTGCATCACGGAAATGGAGCAATATGCTACAACCTCGGTGCGGTGTTCTTTCTGTTGCCGATGCTGTCGACGACGTTATGGCTTAGGTGACCGATGTTGGGGGATGCTTCGGGAGCTTCAAATTGAGTGGAAACAATGGATGGAGGCGGTCGGACGGTACAACCACCAACTATCATATCACGATTCGGAAAAATAATGCCTCAAAATTGCGCGAAAAATGCAAAATAAAAACAACGGTGACTGGACCAAAGCTTACGGAAGACTGTAGAGAGTTGGAAAAAATATATTAAGAACTTCGATGTTTCTGAAATACTCACCGTGGGAAAACATATTAGATGTATATTTAATCCCTAAACGGTTCAGTTTTTTGTTTTGATATAAAAATGAATAAAAAAACGTAATAATACAACCAAAAAAAAAAGCTGCGAGGATTTATCTCCCGGAGACATCTGCGGCGAGATTTACCAGTATAAAACGAGAGGGTGGACTACGTGTTATCCGTTCAATATATACGTTGCACTCCACGCTTAAGTGTTTAATAAAAAACGATAAAGTAAGTTTGCGAAAAATTTATTTCTGGGTGGATCTCGAGGCGTCCGCCCACCGGGTTTCGGATAGGAAAAGTGTTAAGGTGACGGATTATGTGATATAGATAAAAATTTACTGTACATTACCGTTGACGATGGAAGAGTATCGATATTTTTGCCTCCTTTTTTTCGAGGCAGATATAAACCCAACTCTTGATGTGGCGGCCCGTAGATCTTTGGATTGATATTATTTCAATTGTAAACATATATTAAAAAATCGTTATTTTGAAGTTGTCTATATAAATGAAGATTTCAAATATCATTATCATAAACTGTTACGTATAATATAAATGTTTTTTTATTTATTACTCAAATCCCTTTATTTATTCCTCATATAAATGTAAGTACAATTTTATATTATTAATTTTAATATTTAGCATTACCAAAACTAACATTAGATCTAGAACTACAAACATTCTCTTAAGACGGCTAAACCTAAAATGAACCAGCTTTTGACATTTTTTGACCTTGGCCTTATTTTCAAGGTTATATGAAGGTCACGACCAATTTTTTAAATAGCACCCTATATATTTTATTGTAAAATCTGAATCTGTGGATAAAAGTAAAGTAACTAAGAAAAAAATAAAAAAATTGAAACTTCTTTAGAAACAATTAACTAACGTTTATAATATAGCAAGGACAAATAAGATTTATAAATGTTTAAACATTTTCCTACCCGCTTCGATACATTGTCTTTAGTTCTTAATTCTTAGAATACTATTTAAGAATGCTCAACAAAAAAAAAATCGAGAAGAGGTACATCGGGTGACCTGGCTCGTCGGAAATACCTTTGGAAAGAGGTCTAAAAGGTTCCGACATTTCTCCGCCTTTGTCAATTTAATAATAGCATAACGCATAAATAACAAGAGTTCGTGGAACTGCTTATGTCGGCATTTTCAGAATACCGCTTTCAGAGACTTAATTGGTTGAATTGTTTTAAAATGTAACAGGTAAAACTAAATTTGCATAAAATCTGCTTGGCAACAAATTCTGAATTCATTCCACCGTTTTACATTAAGGCAAAGTGTTTAAACTAAGTCATTAGTTAATAAATTAAATCATGGATACTCTAAGTGTGGCAGAAAAGGTCGAAATGATTTTTATTCATGGAGAAAGTGGCAGAAAAGTTGCTGATAGAATCCTGGTCGAAATACGCCATCGAGAAGTACCTTTTACAGAGTTGTGAATGATTTCACTAACACTAGAAATGTGGAATCAAGAAAAAGAACTCGGCNCTTTCGCACAGAACAACTTACATTTGGTTAAATGTTAAATGGACCACCCTCTGTATTACATGTCATATCAAAATTTAATTCCTCAACAAAATAGATGCATAGAGAACTCCACCATTTAAAAGTTCGCTCTAAAATCAGTCAGGCAGTCAGGTTAAAAAAATTTTACTGTGTAAAAAAATTGAAACTTCTTTAGAAACAATTAACTAACGTTTATAATATAGCAAGACAAATAAGATTTATAAATTTTTAAACATTTTCCTACCCGCTTCGATACATTGTCTTTAGTTCTTAATTCTTAGAATACTATTTAAGAATGCTCAACAAAAAAAAAATCGAGAAGAGGTACATCGGGTGACCTGGCTCGTCGGAAATACCTTTGGAAAGAGGTCTAAAAGGTTCCGACATTTCTCCGCCTTTGTCAATTTAATAATAGCATAACGCATAAATAACAAGAGTTCGTGGAACTGCTTATGTCGGCATTTTCAGAATACCGCTTTCAGAGACTTAATTGGTTGAATTGTTTTAAAATGTAACAGGTAAAACTAAATTTGCATAAAATCTGCTTGGCAACAAATTCTGAATTCATTCCACCGTTTTACATTAAGGCAAAGTGTTTAAACTAAGTCATTAGTTAATAAATTAAATCATGGATACTCTAAGTGTGGCAGAAAAGGTCGAAATGATTTTTATTCATGGAGAAAGTGGCAGAAAAGTTGCTGATAGAATCCTGGTCGAAATACGCCATCGAGAAGTATCTTTTACAGGGTTGTGAATGATTTCACTAACACTGGAAATGTGGAATCAAGAAAAAGAACTCGGCGAGTAACTGTAACTACGGAATAAAAGGAAATTGCGGTATTAGCTAGCGTTGAGGTAAATTCTCAAGTTAGCACTCGACGACTTGCAATTGACGCCGGAATATCGAAGATCAGCATTTAAGAATATTAAAGCGCAACAAGTATCACCCATACCACGTTTCATTGCATCAACAGTTTTATGGAGGTGATTTTGAAAATCGATTAATATTTGGTCAATCAATTTCGGACATCAATTTCTTTGGTAACGTGCTATTCTCGGATGAGTCTACTTTTACAAACAAACGACAAGCCAATAGATATAACATGCAGTATTGGAGCGTTGAAAATCCGAGATGATTGCGTGAAGTAGAACATCAACGACCTTGGTCGGTTAATGTTTGGTGTGGCATAATTGGTCCATACTTTATTAATGGTATACTCAATGGGGAGAAGTACCGAAATTTTTTAGATGACGTCTTACCAATGTTACTTGTAGATTTGAGCAGGGAACAAAGACAAAATATGTGGCTGCAAAATGATGGACATTTTTCACATATTGCACGTGAAGCTTTAGATCGGGATTATGCTGGGCGATGTATTGGAAGGGGAGGTCCAATTTCCTGGCCTGCCAGATCACCTGATTTAACACCTCATGATTTTTTTTTGTGTGGCGTACTTCAGGATAATGTTTATCGCGAAGTACCGACTACGCCAGAAAGCATGAAAGAGCAGATAAGAAATGCATGCAGAAATAGTAGCCAAGAAAACCTTTTAAGATGTAAAGAAAGTTTTAGTAGAAGGGTTAATAAATGTATTGAAGTGGGAGGGGAAATATTTGAACATTTATTATAAATTTTATACTTGTTGTTGATTAATAGTATAGTTTAATCATTTTTTATAAATAAACAATATTTTAAAATTATTATAAAAAATCGGTCGTGACCTTCATATGACCTTCAAAATAAAGTCAAGGTTATAGTTTCCCCCTTCGCACAGAACAACTTACATTTGGTTAAATGTTAAATGGACCACCCTCTGTATTACATGTCATATCAAAATTTAATTCCTCAACAAAATAGATGCATAGAGAACTCCACCATTTAAAAGTTCGCTCTAAAATCAGTCAGGTTTATGAAAGTTTATGTTGACAGTTTTGTCGATATTTAAAATTTATTAGGTTTTAAAAAAATTTCAATGATTTGATTAAGTGCATATTTATAATCAATTTGAGGATGGAAAAAATTCCAAAAACTTTCTAACAATGGATGCGAAAAAAAAAGTGAACGTTCTTTTAATGTAATAAAAAGTTTATTGAGCGTCAAACCGGTTCCTAAATGGTTTTGGGCGACCTAAATATTTTTATACCCAAAATATAAGCCCGTTTTTGCCGATAAAACTTCCGCCCCCGTCCGTTTTGGCGGCGGCGTGTTTCGACAGAGCGTTTTCAATGTAGCAAGATGCCGGAAGACGGCGAATAAAAGGCGGAAAATATCCTCAAATCAGCTTACTTAGTTGGCATTCGTAATGCGTCCGCGAAGTTGGAACAAAAGGTCTTGGCGCACAAAGGTCCTCAATAAAAAAAACTTAATCAAGCTATAAAGGCAAGAAATTGTTATTATAAGTTGTACAAAAAGACCGAAAAACAATAGTAGAAATAAAGAAGTAACGATTTTGTAGTTGAAAACATAATGCGAGGTGCAGCTGTGAGACGAAATCCGAGCCTTGATAATATGTTAAAATATACGAAAGTTATTTGAGAAATTGCGCGCCCTTTCTTATTTAAATCCTCAGTTAGAACTACGTTGTAATGCGTCTTTGAGTTGGGCGTCCGTTGCACTTCTTAAAACTTTCCAGTCCGACCTAATCTAAATGATAATTCATATCAACCGAAGGAAAAATGGAAAATATCGACTTACACTCATCTCCCGCTTAATCGAGCCTCCTCGAGACTGTCTCCGTCTTTCATCTCACCACTCTCTTATTTGTATTCACGTTAATGATATTCAAATTAAATTTATTTCACTGATCGATCTTCACTTCTGCTCTACTTTCCCAGCTGCTTAAATTTCAGCGAGACGGTTAAGTTTCACTGATGTCCTCTGAACTGAAATTTCGCCTTTCAAAAACACCAACCACGGTTTTTTTCACTATTTCCTTTCAGACCGGTTATGCATACGCCACGTACGTTCTCTTTTCATACTCGGGTATTAAAATTTTGTTATTGAAAAACTTCTCGTACGATTATGCCCCCTTTTTGGATTGAATATCCCTTTTTAGAAATACCCTTTTATGTGTTACCACCCCTTTATATCACCGCATTCACGATGCTTACGCACCAGCGTAATTTCAAAACCGAGTATTAACCGACTTTATCCCCTCCTTGTGATATATTTTATAAAGGTTCATATAAATTATTTTTATTGAAAAAATTCTCTCTCTCTGCTTGATAAGTTAGTTTAAAAAGAAAATAATCAAATTTTGTCTTGATTACACTTGTAGTTCTTTTCAATGTTGTTCCATATCACGTTCATCAAGTTCTCTTAACAATGATTGCAAATATTTTTTGTTATTTGTAACATCAACGTGATTCATTATTAACCATGCAATTGTTCGGACGTATTTTGTTTTCGATATTTTCTGTATTTAATATTCGGCATTGCACAGGTTTCGACGCGATATTTTATATCAAATTATTGGTAGAATGTGTTAAATTGATGAATGTATTTAACCGTTTTTCATTTTCCGGTTGGACTAGTGAAATTATTAAAAGATGGATTATATTTCAACCAAAACCCCATTCTGTTCGTTTCCGAATAGCGGCTGGGAGTTTATTTTTTCGCAATCGATTTATAATTCAATTACTGTTATACCGAGGACGACGTTTTTGGGGACGATAAGTGAAAGTAGAAGTCGGAATTTCGGGGATTTATGATTTGGACGCTATCGAAACAAAGGGTGCGGAAAAAATAATATCGCGGAAGTGTAATAAAGATACCGCGTTTGATACGATTGGCCAACGTCCAACGCGATGCGTTTTCAATGGAGCTGAACCAACAATTTTTCCCGGAAACGCATTTAACGTTCCGAATCCATATCTGCAACGTAATAGATCGCAGCTTCTTCGTTGAAACCGATATTTTTATTAGCGTCGTTTGTTATTTCAATTTCTGATTACAACGAAACCGGGATCTAAATTTTCGCCTACCTAAACCATCTCTCACGGGACTCCTCGCCATTTAGTATTAAGCCCGCGAAGATA